GGGGCAGACGCTCCGCTGGTAGGTTAGCTTGCTGCTGGGGTCCGGCTGATCAGGACTGAGTGAGACAGGCTGGACAAGCCCTGGAGCCCTCCCGTGTCCCTCCCTAGCCCCAATCGTGCACTGGTGGGGTCCCTCTGCCTGGCCTGTACCCTCTTGCAATCTGGGACCCCTCGGGGGATGTCAGAGAGCCAGTTTCGGCCCAATCCTGCAGGCCAGGCTGAGGGACCCACTGGTGCACGAATTCATGCACTGGGCCTCTAGTTTATTAATAAGCATCACACAAACACAAGGTATGTTTGAACCTTTTATTCATACAAAGGGCATGTTTCCCCCAATTTCTAAACTGTTAAATAAGTATAAAAAAAAAATTCATTAGTTAATGTCAGTCAAGTACATGCAAAATTAAAACATTTAGGAAGTACTTTGCTACATAAAGCAGTTCCTATACTTCTCTTTTAACCCATTTACTAAATATACCCATTTGTACTTATACCCAGTATATGAAATAAGTATAACATTAAGGCAATCCTCCTTATAAACACAAGCTGGTATCTAATTAATGTTATTGGTAACCAGAAAATAAATAGGAACCTACTTACTAATTACCAGGGAAAACAATCAAATTGAAGGGGGCAAGAGGACTTGCTGGAGACACTATCTATTGGTGAAACAGCAGAGCTTAGTGCAGGGGTGGGCAAACTTTTTGACTCGAGGGCCACAATGGGTTCTTAAACTGGACCGGAGGGCCAGAACAAAAGCATGGATGGAGTGTTTGTGTGAACTAATATAAATTCAAAGTAAACATCATTACATAAAGGGCCCGGGTCTTTTTTTTTTTTTTTAGTTTTATTCATTTCAAACGCGGGCCGTAGTTTGCCCCCGGCTGGCTTAGTGGCTTAGCAGCCAACAGAGCATCAAAAGTACTTAGGTCAGGCAGCTCCTATCAGATGATGTTCAGTGCAACACAAACCACTCCTCCCTCCAGCCCACCTTGCAATTTCAAAACATTCCCAAAGCCGAAACTTAGCATGACAGAGTCCACACTTTGGCATTAAAAAAAAGCATAAAACACAAGGTATCTCCTACAGAGTTTAAAGTATGTGGAATTACAAGTGAGAAACACGAATCTCCAGACTTGTTTTTTGGGGGGTGATGAGTTGTCATTAGACATGTCATTTTCTTCTGTCACACCCCATAAAAGTCTTCAATTGAATAAAAGAACATTCAAGAATAGGAAGTAAATTAACCACAATAAATCCACATCTGTCTTAAAGATTAAGATAAATAAATCTGCCTATAAACACAGATTTTATTTAACATATTCAGTTTTAAGAGATAACCCACATTCCTTCAATATAAAGAAGCTTGTTTCTTAAATAACAGGTGGCACCTGAATTACAATCAGCCTACTGAAATACTCAGGGGCACACCACACCCAAACAAACTCAAGCCAATCAAGAAGTAAAAGCAATCCAGTCCCACCGGTTAATTGTCTAGATTAATTCATTTTACATTTTCACTCTCAGTCTCATGAATATTTTATGAGAAATCCACGTAATTTCTTTAGAAGTAATCTCTATTCACTGGTATATTTTTATAGTCCAATTTACCTCCCTCATCCTTGCTGGATCTTAAAGACTGGATCATTACCACCCATAATAATTACCTTTATGAACATAAGCAACTTGACAGGAGGAAAAAATGTAGATATAAAATAAAGCCAAAAAATCCTGTGAGATACCACTAAATTTTTAAATATTAGACTATACCCTTAAGACCTGTTATAAACAAAGGTGACAGACAAGAGAAGGCTTTTGTTCACTTTAATACTATTAAACTCAGCAGTCTGAAACTAACAACAACACAAGAAAAACCTATCTCACCTAAAAACTCCTGTACGATCCAGCCAATGTGGCTCAGTGGTTGAGTGTTGACACATGAACCAGAAGGTTTTGGTTAGATTCCCAATCAGGGCACATGCCCAGGTTTCGGGCTCTGTCCCCACTAGGGGGCATGCAGTGGGGACAGCTGATCAATGATTCTCTCTCATCATTGATGTTTCTACCCCTCTCTCCCTCTCCCATCCTCTCTGAAATCAATAAAAATATATTTAACAAAAACAAACAAAAAACACACCTGTTTGTATTATAATAATATTCTGATGTTTTATCCAACAACTCAGTTCTAGGAAATTTCTGTAAACTAAAGCATCTGGATTAAGCACCTCTACAAGTTCTCTCCAGACGGAAAGAATTAAAAGAGTGTACATCACCAAAATACGTTTCCAAAAAAGAGTAAAACAAACCAACACAGAACACCTCATTTAATTTGGTAATTCATTATGATGGAACCAGAAACAATTCACCTTGCTAGACTACCAAATTTTAAAAAACAAACAAACAGTATTGGTTTAGGTTTTCCTTTTCTATAAATTACCTGACAGCCCATAAGAGAATAATTCTGAATCTTTTAGTATCAAATTTTCTTATTAGGAGATGTTATTAATACAAACATCAGTTAAAATAAGTTTTATAAAATTATAGTAATAAATTTCCACTAATTCAGAAATATTCCTTTACTCATTATTCAGATGGAGTTACTTTTATACATGCACATTTGTACACTTTGTAACTGAATAAACATATTAATTCTATAATACATACTAAAAATTAAATCAATGTGAAGTATAGTCAAGTCTAATTTCTAAATAAGAATTATCATCTGGCTCCCTACACCTCAGGATAATGAGAAATACTGTTCTATAAAGTTCCCCTGACAAACTCATCCACTGAAATAGAGATAAAAATCTCATTGAAGCAAATGTCATTGGAAAGATTCGGTTTTACATGTATATTCTATCTTCTGGTCTCAACTAGGACTTAAGGTACAAGCACTTTGCAAGTTTTTCAAGAATCCTTCTAAATGCATAGAAGATAAAGTTAATTGCATACAACAGATGCCTTAGTCATTAGGACTCATTCTCTACAAAGACCTAATTAAGAAAGACTGCCACAAGTTCCTGGCTGTTATGCTGCTAGACCCAATTACCCTAACCACAAAAGTACTAAAAGAACTAAATGCAAAAATCTAGGAACTTAGATAAGAAAATAGATAAATGCTTTACCTCTCTAACTTTCAGCAACTCAGTCTTTTTCATTTGCTAATTTACTATGACTTAATAGCATGGGTGTCAACTATTTGTCCTCTGCTCTGAATGGAATGTATTTACTTTAAGAAAATAAACCCATACAGGTATACCGACTCTTTGTTAAAGGATATCAGCCCTAAAAAAAAAAAAAAAAAGAATGAAGACAGTAGTCAGTATACCGAAGAAATAAGAACTATTAACTTGACAAGCCTTTTCCTACTTCCCCTTCTTTAGCAAGCTTTAAATATACATCTTTTGATGATCATAACTGCTAAATACAAGTTTTCACTTAAAAAAGATATATTTTTAAAAACCAGCTCATCTTTTATTATTGCACTAATCTCCCATTCTCAAGAAACTGTCTTTTGCTATTCCTCCATGTGGTGGCTACAGTACCTTCAACTGCATTAATTATAATCAAATCAAAGGAAGGAAAACACTAGTTCTTTAACTAAAACAAGTATTTTTTTAACTGGCCCAGTTTTAGGAAGCATTAAGTACTTTTATTTACACAGCAAAATGACTTTATAACAAGTAATTAAAATAAGGTAAAGAGTTGTTCTATACTGAATGTGCAAAGCAGTACTGAAAAGATGGGAATGTCGTGTTTAGTTTTTCCATTTTTAATTTATGCCAACGTGAAGGTGGACAGTACAGAACATCAGCACAGATAGCTAAATTACGTTACTGGACATCCCACTTTACCAACTGCTTACTCAAATTTCTCACGTTTATAAACATGAATACAAAGGGCACAAAAATGGAGGGGATGGTGTGTGCAGTTATCTGTGCTCCACTGTGAATGTTCTATCAAGATACATAATGCAATGAGATGGGAATGTTTACCCTCTACACTGTATCTCTACAGCATCTCTAGAATCTACAGTATCTCTATCCAGATAACTCTTTTCCCCCGCCCCCGTGAACTGGGAGGAGAGGGGTGTCTTGATGCATTTACTATAACTGTTTTGAGGTAGAGATGATCACCATAAAACATAATTGAACAATTCAAACTCATTTTCCTCAAATCAAGTGCACCCTTCCTCCCATTCCTACATAAAGACACATCACTTAGCTACTAAAAATTTCCATTCCTCACAAGTGACTTTTCCTGAACTCAAGTCAACACTGCTTTGCGCGGCGCCCAGGCTTTCGACTGACTGCACCTCGTGGGCAGAGTTGTGATTATTACTAATTCATCTCCTTAAACTCTTTCCCATTTTTTTTAATGCTGTCCCGATTAAGCAGGACTCACATTAACCAGTATCTAAAGTAGACGTTTACTGGGGTGAAAAATACACTTTCCATTAATACATCCATCCCACTCCCGTGTGCACAGTAGCTGGGACTATTTGCAAACTTAAGAATTAGTTTTATATATATTAACCACCATCCAAAGGAGGTAATTCCCTCCATTTTCAAACACTCATATTGATTCGAGACCCTCTGACTTTTGGCCTTTAGAAACTGCTCACCACTGGAGTCCCAAGACAGAACCACATTTAGCAACGGGTCTTCTGACTTCCTGATACCCAAACCCACAAGCGCCAGGACTGCTGCGTCGGTTCGTTATAAAACACTGTTTGCGCCTTTCGCCTTCCGGGGAGAGCCAGGGCTTTCCGCCCCGGGGCGCCGCTGGGAGGGGAGGGTCACGCGTTTGCAAAGCAAACACCGGGGTCTGGCCGAGCGGCGTCCCGGGGGTTAAGTGGCGGCTCTCCCCGGAGGCTGAGCCGGCCGGCAGCGCTCAGGCTGAAGGAGAAAAGAAGGTAAAAATAAACGCCGCCGCGGCCCACGTGCCGCCGTGGGAGCGGGGAGGAGGGAGGGAGGGAGGGAGGGGAGAAGGGGGCCGTACCTCCAAACAAGTGCGGCGAGAGGTGAGCCGGGAGCGAGCCGATGACCAGGCGCGGCCCGCCCGGGCCCCCGCCCGCCGGCCGGTCCCTGCCGCCGCCGCCGCCGCCGTCCTCCGGGCTGCTGTGCACCGAGTCCTGCGAGCCGTACTGGCCGCTGCTGCTGCTGGGGATGCTGAGGGAGGACTGCGCGGCGCGGGCCCCCGACGCCACGGTGCCCACTGCCCCGCCGAGAGAGCGGCTGCGCGGGGCCGCTGAGGCCGCCGCGGCGCCGCCCGAGGCGCTGGGCTGGTGCGCGCCCGGCACCTGAGCCGGAAGCCTCCCGGCGGCCGCGGCCCGCGCCCCTCCGCCGCCGGCGGTCCCGTTGGCCCCTCCGCCGCTGCTGGAGGGTAAGTCGGAGCCCGAATACGCGCGGGTGCGGCCGTTAGCAGCGGCCGGGCCGCTCTGCTTGGCGCCCATGTCCGCCCTGCCCCGGGCCGGGCCCGCGCGCAGCGCCCGGAGCGCCGGGAGGGCGGGAGCGAGCGCGGGAGCGAGAGGGCAGGGCCGAGGCGCCGCGGCCGGCCCACCGGGAAGCCCGCACGTCCAGGGCCGCTTCCCGGCGCCCCGAGGGGCGGTCGGCGCGCTCTTCTGGTGGGGGATGGCGGGCGCGGGAGACGAGGAGAGGCGGGTAGGGAGAAGGCCCGGGCTCCGGCGGGCGCCGCTCGCTCGCTCCGGCGGGAAGGGCGGCTCAGGTGGCCGTCCGGCTGCCGCTGGTTTCGGTTCTGCTGCGCCGCGACGGGCTGCTGCCGCTCTCTGCCGCCGCCGCCGTGCTCTGCGCCGCGGGCCTCGGCACCGCCTCCTCCCGGGCGGCCCCTGCTACCGCCGCCATCCTCCTGCTCGCACGGCGGCTCGCGGGTGAGTGGGAGGCGCCCGCCCAGACTCCGCCGGGGCCACCTTCCTCCTCCCCCAGCCGCCGAGCTGTTATTAACGGAGAAAGAGGAAAAACGGGTGGCGCGTGAGGGGAGGATGGAGAGGAGGAAAGGACGGCGCGCGCTTCCGGGCAACCGCCGCCGCGCTGCCCCAGTGAAGGAGGGGCGAGGGGCGGGGGGCGGTGTGGCCCGCGAGGGTGGGGGCCCCGGAGGGGAGGAGGCGGCCGGGCCTGGAGCCGGAAGGCCGAGGAGCCTCGCGGGTCCGGGGTGAGCCCGGGCCCGTGTGTTTGGGTCGCGCGCGGTGACCCCGCCCCCTCGTGCCGCCCAGCGGATTGGCTCCAGCCGTTCTGGCCCCGCCTTTTCCAGCCTTGGCCTTCGCGCCCCGGCCCCGCCCCGATAAGGTACCGCGGTGTGGTAGGTGCTGCCTCCCCGAGGACCCGGTGATGGACAGGTCGCAGGCCCCGCCCTCCCCCGGAGCGCGCCCTCTCCACCGCGGGGCCCGTGCGGATTGGAGGGATTTAGCCCCTCCGGGCACCAACCAAAAGGCTGCCCCTCCTCCCGCACGTGGCCATCCGATGCAGTGTGTCCCCTTCACCTTTTCCCGGCTGGAAATGGCAGTGTCCTGTCCCCCGGGCCAATCAGTTTAGGTGGGTGTTAAATTCCTTGTTGGTGTTATTAAATGAGTGTGTCTTTTATTTGAAGCAGAAGGTCAGCAATGCTGATGATAAAAACTAAGAGCAGTGGCAACAAAAGAAACAAGAAGGCGGCAGAAGGCAACTTAATCTGAATTAGCCCTATCCGATCAAACACTCCAACCCCGGAGGAAGCGCACTGTTGGAGGAACTAAAGAATACTCCAGCCTGACCTTCAGTTGCAGGACAAGAACTGTGGTGCGGAGAAAGCTGCACCCGATTTAAGAGACCCCAGGGTCTAGGTCTGGGACCAAATTAAGTTACTGTAGTGAGCAAGTTATTTTGCCTTTTTTGACTCTGTTAGTGTTTTAAACACCTTTGTACAGTTTACTTGGCACTATAAACGTGAATTCTGAAGTGTATAAACTGCTTTCTTCCCAAAACGCCAACTTACTGAGATTAGTTTCCTTTCTGGGATATTTGAATATAAATCCCTAGGGCACTTGCAGCTTAAAAATCCGATAATTTATCTAAAATTGAATTTTTAAAATTTATTTTTATTGATTTCAGAGAGGAAGGGAGAAGAGGAGAGAGAGAAACATCAACGATGAGAGAGAATCATTGATCAGCTGCCTCCTGCATGCCCCCTACTGGGGATCCAGCTAGCAAGTCCCAGGCATGTGCCCAGACTGGGAATGGAACTGTGACCTCCTGGTTCATAGGTCCATGCTCCACTGCGCCACACCCACTGGGCTAGAATGGAACTTATTAAAATTACCAGCCCACTCCTGTGACCTAGCATCTTGGTAGTAGAACCTGGTCTGCATGTCCAGTGGCCAGCCTGCTCTAACCCTCCCCTTTTGAAAATGCCTAAAGTGTTCTCTCTGTGAAAATAATAGCAACTGGGATTTTTGCACAAACTACAGAAATAAATACTTTGTCTTTTTTCCATGCTTGTAATGTCATTTATGTAATGATTTTCATCACTCTTTGAAGTATGAAAATCAAGTTTTTAAACAGAAGTGAATAAATACAAGAATAAACTTAACGTCCTCACAACTATAAACCTACTTTTGCCCACCCCGTATATACATTGTGTATATGTGTGTAAATAGATCAGAGATACCAGTGAAATATATATCTCTAAGTACATATTTATTACATACACACATACACATATGTGCATCTGTGTATGAGCTTACTGAAACCAACATTTACTTGTTAAGCAGAGAAATGTTAGAAAGGCCAAAGTGGTTAGCAGCATGACAAGTTCCAAATCAAGAAGGTATTTAGTGATTTGATTTGATTTGATTTACCTTTTACTAAATGAGGCCTTGACTGTAAAACTCTAGCCCAGCAGTAAATTGTTACCAATATCCTAAGAACCTACTGCTACTAGAGAAACTTATAAACACCAATTTTAAAAAAGGCGTAAAGGACTTCTGCAAGTCTTTAGGGAACTAAAAGCTGATAAGTAAGAGTTTCACAGTCATCTTCACACATACATTTATGAAGCAAATCCCATTCGGCAGTTAAAACTAATAAATGGAAAGATTTAACAATAAAACCCAATGACTCCAAACTATATTCAGATTTATATTATGCTTTATCACATCCAAACTTGGCTGTATGTTTTGTCACTTTTACCCAGATGGTAATTACACCTTAAACGTGCTCTACATTTATTCCTAACTGGGAACAAAAAACCCTTATAGTGCCAGGTTTCCTGCATTCACACCATTCACAACAGTTGAAATGTTACATTTCTTTCATTTATGCCCATTCCTAACAAGACTGTAAATGTCATGGGGGCATGGAAAGAGTGTTTTTTCAATCACCACTGCAGTGCTTGGCACACAGTAGCCTGCAGGTAAGTATTTATTGCGTAAATGAGTGGTGAGAAGACCACTTACAGGCTGAATGTCAGATGTAAGGGATAAAAATTGGATTTGTAGTGGTCATTCATTCAGTGTGTTTTGTGTTAGTGCCAGGCACAGCATATTAGTCAGAGTACACTAAGCTACACAGAGGGAGCAAACCCCTATACATCAGGGCTGTGATGCCACAGAAGCACATTGCAAAATCCTTTGGTACACCCTCTCCTCTCTTGTTAAGGGCCAGTAGGATACACTTGGTTTAATTTACCTCAGCTGGACTGGGGAGGGGAGGGGGGGGCGGCAGAGTTACTCCCTGAGGGCGGGACCAGTCAAAAGATTGGACGCCACCCAGTTTGACTCTCCTGCCCAGTGTTAAGGGGATGGATCTCATGATGTCAAAGGCCTACCCAGATGTGATGTAACTTCCTGTAACTCAAGTATATAATAAAGCGGCTTTTGGAGCTGGCTCTCTCTGTGTGCTCTGTCCCTTCAGAGGGCAGGCTCTCTCTGCCTGTCCCTCTGGAGGGCAGGCACCACACCCAGCCCAAGCTTTGAATCTATTTTATGTCTGTCTTTCATTATTTCTTCAATCCCGAAAGCGCCTCCTAGATTGCATGAACCGGTTCAAGTCTCCTTCACGGTGCGGGTCTCGAGAAGAAGACAGCCCCAGGAAACCGCTCCGTATTCTCTCTCTCTGGTTCCCCACTTGAGAGGCAATCCTGGGTGGCTCTTCTCCAAGTGGTGACTCAGGAACCCACATTCTTATCTAGTGCCTAAGTAGGCCTCTGGCCCTCTGGTCCTTCACTAGATCCTGCGCACCTGGCTGGCCAAAGACACAAGGCCAAACCTGGAAGGGTTTGCATTCCTCCTTCTCACTATGCACTCACATGGTCTAACTCTAACCAGTGGTCAGCAAACTGCGGCTCGCAAGCCACATGCGGCTCTTTGGCCCCTTGAGTGTGGCTCTTCCACAAAATACCGACTTCTGTGCATGGGCCACGAAGTTTCAGTCACACTGTACATGCGCACCCACATGTGTTATTTTGTGGAAGAGCCGCATTCAAGGGACCACAGAGCCGCATGTGGCTCGCGAGCCGCAGTTTGCCGACCACTGGGCCTCTAACCTAACTGCCAAGGGGTCAGGAAATGTGGTTTTATGAGTGCTTCCCAGGAACTAAAGGAAAGAATTTTGGCAAGCACAGGGCAAGCATGCCTTTTGCCACACACAAGAGCTGTTGTCTGACGGTCAAATACCTAAGGTAAATATTAAATCTTAGTAAAATATTTTACAATAAAAATTGTTACATGAAAAATTTGAGTTACTAAGCCATCAAAACATAGTTTTTAAAAACCTAATTTGTCCGAGAGTGGAACAGCTAAATTCTATTTGCTTTAAATTGTGTTTCTAGCAACACCATCTAACACAGCAGTTCTCAACCTGTGGGTTGCAACCCCTTTGGCGGTCGAACGACCCTTTCACAGGTCACCTAAGACCATCCTGCATATCAGATATTTACATTATGATTCATAACAGTAGCAACATTACAGTTACGAAGTAGCAATGAAAATAATTTTATGGTTGGGTCACAACATGAGGAACTGTATTTAAAGGGCCAGAAGGTTGAGAACCACTGGTCTAACACAACTCTTAATTCAGACATTTAGGTCAGTGATCTTCAAAGTATGGCCTAAATCATCAGGATCTGCATTGCCAAGGAATTTGTCAGAAAGGCAGATTTTCCGGCCCCACCCCACACCTACTGAATCAATGGTTCTTGAACAAGCCCTCTGAGAGATTCTGATCCATGCTAATGTTTGAGAACCACTGCTGTATGTAATCACTGGTTAGTTTCAAAACAGAATATCATGTTAAGGCGTGATCATCATTTTGATTAAATGCCCTCTTCATGTGGATGGCCCATCACCCCACACCCAGCCCATTGTCACAGAATGGCTTCAGTTTTCCCACTCGGTGCTGTGTTAATACTGCCTTTACAGCACTGATCTTATTATTATTATTATTATTATTATTATTATTATTACAGTGGGGCCTTGACTTACGAGTGTCCCGACTAACGAGT